CTATACAATGACTTGCGGGGCCAGCTATTGTACAAGTCAGTGTTCTTATCCTTCCAGACGAATCTGGTACCAATTTACCGTCACCAGAGGGTAGAAGGCTTGGTTGGACTGGTGAGAGCACATACGGGATTTGACGCCGAACCGCGCGCATAGCCATCATGCCAAATACCACTACATATACCACCTCCCCCCCCCCCCTGAGGTACAGACAGAAAGAAAACCGTATTCATGTTGGACCACCATTTCGTAACCAAAGAGGAGCAAGTACATAAGCCTAGGGTCTGAGATGAGTACACTCACCCAACTCCTGTCATCTTCAACCCATGTCAATCGTATCCGTTTATCAATGAACTTCGCCGTGTACGTCGCTAATTGTTGTACTTCTCTTCGAAAATTTCGGGCATACATTCTTGCGGCCACTAATCCGCCGAATGATATTAAGCCAACCTAAACTTGCATTATCTGTCTTACAAAGCAGATAGCGAAAAATATGGAAGTCTTAGCACTTACTAATCGTCCATATGACATGCCATTCTCCATCTCATCTGCGGTCCGCCCGAATTCGTCAACTATCTGCAAACAGTTGGTATCACGAGGAGACACTGCTTTATCTCTGTGTACCTTGGAACACCAAAGCACCCGGTGCCGAGAATAAAAGGGGGTTAAAGGAAACAGTATGCCCTTGAAGACCCAGCTAAAGTTCCACGATATTCTCCATTTCTGCACAAAAACTACAACGATACTGTCCGCTAAAAAAATAAGCTTACATCGCAATATCGGCTGAATGTAAGATCTTCATTTTCAAGCAGTTCATCTGCAAATTCATTCAACTCAGTCCGATGTCGCCGTTCAAAAATAAGAGCAACTTGCCTGAAAGCATACAAACACATGCGTCTCAAAGCTTTTATTGAAGATAATAAAGAACCATCAGAACTTAGGATCAAAGCGAATAGAATTCTCCAAACCCTTCTGATCGTGGGAAACGCTCAGAGAAACGGAACAGCTTGTACACCAAACATATATAACAAAGATGGACGTGTGCCCTCGGTTCTGGATCTTTCTTTGCTCCCTCGATAATCTATCTTGCCCATCCTATT